ATAGTATTGAGTGTGAACCATATGTTGTTGTTGTTATGTGCCGTCGAGTCACTTGCGATCATAGAGACCCTATGTACAACAGCCCTAAACTCTGCTCTGTCCTGTGCCAATCGCACTGTCTCTGACACCCCCATCCCAATTATCCCAGTCACTGAATCAATCCACCTCATAGAGGGCCTTCCCCTTCTGTGCCGTCCCTTCACCCTCCCAAGCATGATGTCCTTCTCCAAGGACTGGTCTCTCCTTACAACATGTCCAAAGTAGAAATTACATATATTCAAGTTGTCTTCAAGAAACTAAAGACTTCAACCATAACTGACGGATGAGAGCTCCTGTCTTTTTAAAAATCTCTACGAGGTTGTTCTCCAAGGAACATACAAACTTGTGGATTTGGTTTGATTTTTTTCAGCTTCAGTTTGAACTTGCATATGAGTTGTTGATGATCTGATCCACAATCAGCACCTCACCTAGATTTTACAGCCAATGCTGAGTTTCTCCAGCCATTCTTCTCACAGATGTAATTGATCTGATTACTGTGTATACCGTAAAGTAAAATATGTGTGTATAGTCTGCATTTTTTGTTTCTTATAAAAAATATTTGCAATGAATAAACCATTGATTGTACAGGAAAATAATCGATAAGAGTAATGATCTCACAACATTGTTGACAACTGATATTACTCAATTCTATTTTCTCTGAGGCGGGTTTGTGTGTGTGTGAGTGTTTCCAAATTAGTGAAATACGACATATTTCCATTCCCAGGTTCCAGGTGTGGGATAGGAGAGAGAACATTTGGACGCCATTCTTCACTTAAGTCTTCATCCTTTGAGAGTGACTGAATTGGCCCTCTGTCTTCTCTTTCTAGATTGAATAGTTCCAATCCCTTTACCCTGTTCTCAGAGGTTTCATTTGTCAACCTTTAGTTTGGTCATTTTCATTGCTCTCCTCTGGATGTTCTCCAAGTCCTCTGCATTCAAATGTGTTGCCTTTGCTACTCAGTTCACTCTTCCAAACAACTTACTATTTTTCACAAAGACCAAGCTCAAAAGGACACACCTGTCTCTAATAGTGCAAGAGAATAGCAGCAAGGTTCACATTCCTGTGTAAGGCACTCATGTAGAACACTCACATAAGAAACACCTCAATTTAAAGGAAATCAGCATTTTCTATAATATTTTGAAGGAGAAAGGACCAAAATCCACAATTTCTGCATAGTGTTTAGAAACCAGTCAGGTTGACAAAATTATCTAAATTACTTGTTAACAGATAGACTATTATAGCAGCATGCACAAGCATTGTAGTTATGCCTGAGGTTCTCAGAAGGGTCCTAATAAAATCACTGTACTAATACAGTTAATGTGATCAAGCAGAAGTTCTGATTCTGTAATATACCTCTGGCTGTCAAGTAGAGAGTTGAGAATTTGCTATGTTATTTATAGGTGGTGTTTTTGATGGGCTAGTCCAGGCAATACGAAAAGGGGCTTTCTTTGCAGGTTGTCAATCAATATAAATTAATATTTTCTGAGTTCAGACTCCAACAACTATGAAGAAACTCTGAAGAAATTATCTGTAGAGATTAATCAAATCCATACAGTTCATAGTGGTATGACTACTTGTATACTCAAGAAAGGACAGATATGGAAATCAGAGTTCCGGTGAAGAGCCTTGCAAACCATGCACTGTGCCGATTTGTAAGTCTTCTCTGCAGAAGGGTCACCCGCTGTCTTTTCTTCTCATTGTGTCATTGTGACTGACCTGGTCCCTGTAAGGCATCTTCAAGTCCTATTCCATTGTTGTGGCTTTGTTCTATACAGTCAGGTAAGACTCAAAATGCCTTTATGAACCATGGATCAGATGTCTGTCCTGTGCCATCCTCACCATGTCTGACATAAAAGCCCTTTGCTACCGTCACTGTGTCAGTTCACCTTATTAAGGGTCTTCCTCTCCTTCACCATTCTAAGCATGATGTCTTTTCACAAAGACTGGACCCTCCTAACAACATGCCCAAAGTATATGAGCTCGAGTTTCACTATCTTTACTTCCAAGGAGCACACCTAGTCTATTCTGTATCATCTCTCCTATTCTAGACTTGAAAAGAATAAGTCAAGATTCTTCAGACCGATTTCCAAATCCTCTCAAGAAACTGGGGAAAATCTTACTGAATATGATTCCATTTCAGAGACTTATTTGTGATGAAATAATTTTTTTGAAAACACATTTCTAGTGCTTTCTACGTCTGAAGAAACCACAATGACAAATACAGGTGAATGTGTTAGTTAGAAATGAAGAGATGAAAGAGTAATGTCATTCAGTGTGTTCCAGGCAAGGATGGTAACATCATCATCTAGCTCAAGTTTTGAAACTGGTTTGGCTCTAGCCAGGTCCTATCTGAAAGGTCTATCAACAACAGCCATGGGGAAATCTGCTACGTTCCTAAAAATCTTCCCTGAAGACTTTGTCTTGAGTCCAAAGCAAATTCATGGTTTAATGTGGTATTTTCCTAGAGAGGGAGTTCCAAAGAAGTCCCTGGGTGTATGCAATGATTAAGCTCTTTGCTGCTAACAGAATTGGTTATCTCCCTTGATCTGCCAAAAGGACAGATATGTCTTGGGGAACAGGCAGCCACAGTGCTTCTTGAAGGCAAACATGGTAAAGGTTCATCTCTCCTATTCTGAATATGTTGCTAGGAGAGGCTGTTCCTTGAAAAAGGACATCATTCTTAGAAAGATGGAGGGTCAGTGAAAGAAAGGAAGAACCCCTCAATGAGATGGGTTAACCACAGCAATGGGCTCAAGCATGTCAAATATGATGAAGATGGCACAGATTTGAACAGGAATTCAGAGCTGTTGTTGACTGGGTTGCAGGGAGTTGTACTCAACTCAAAAGTACCCAACAACAAGGCTGCTTTGAAAGGTAGGCCTGCAAATCTACTTCCATATGATCCCAACCATGAGTCAGAATTGACTCAATGACAAATGGTTTGGTTTGGAATTTGATAGTCCCCACAGCAGGCCTGATCGATCAAAAACTTGGGTCCTTAGAGAACGGATACAAGTACCAATGCCTTTGATTTGATTCTGACTCATCAAGACTCAATGAGTGTCATTGTTGAACTGTGTTCTCTAGCGTAGTCAGTGGTTAACTTTCTAAAACATATTATCAGACCATTTTTCCAATGTGCTCTGTGTGCACTTGAACCAATCACAAATCTTTCAGTTAACAGCTGAGTATGTCACCCACTAGTACTACCCATAGACTTCATGAAGTTATGGTGACCACAAAATTACTACCAACTTGTTGGTCCTGACTCCTGGTGACCCTTCACCAGATTTTGTAGCTGTATGTTTTTATGGGAGAAGATTGCCCACATCCTATAGAGCAGCCAGGGCATTTCAACCTCTAACCTTTGGGTTAAGACACTATGTTATTCACTTTTTTTATTAGTGCTACTTGAAATTAATATAGTAATGCTTAAATAATCAGTATAAAGGATGGCCTTACATCCACAAGATCATAGAAAGGACAACCTCCCAAAGTGAATTCATATACATTATTATCTGTTTAATAGAGTTAACCCATTCTATTCCTCTATGGGCATGCTCATGCCCCAGGTTTTGTCCTGTAGACTGAGGAAGGACATTAAAATGCAAGCATCATTGATAAATGTATGCATAACTGAAGACCAGAGCCTCTCAAACAATGGGCCATTAATGCCAGAGCTTGTGAATATTTTTATTTGTAAATATGTAGTATAACTTAATAGTTTCAACGATAAGATTCCAGTTATAAGTGGAGATGCAAATAGTCCCTGATTTCATTTGTTTAATAGTAAATGTAGGCTCACAGATTCTTAATGTGTGACAGCACAATAACATCATTCTGATATTGCTTTATGCTGCCATGTGACTTAGTAGTGGTTTTGGGGAATGGCCAGTAATGTTGGGTTGGTAAACCATGAGTCAACATGATGCAGCATTTTTTTTCTCTTTATCTCCATGTATGCTTCAGAGATTTATTCCAATTTGCTTCAAAGGTGCAGCACTCTAATATCTATTGCAATTTGAGGAGATATTTCATTCCATTTGCATTTGAAAAAAAATATGTTAACTAACACTGAATACTGACATCTGTGTACTGCCAGGGTTAAAATAAGACAAGAAAATAGGAGAAAGAGGCAAAGGAAAGACAAGGAGTGAAAAACTGAGTGTGGGTTTGAAAAGCACACATCCATACCAAGCAGGTGACACCTTCTGCTAATGTTTGATGAGCTTGAAAAATAGAACAAAATAAATTCCTGCAGACTTCCAAAAGCCAACAATTCAAAATAAACAACTGAAGGTGGTCGTTTACTGTAACTCCATTTCTAAAAAATCAAATGAACCTCTAACTAAGCTTGTCTGGGACATGAATAAATCATACGAACATAAATTACTCATTATTATCAAGTCATGAACTGAGGATTCCAGGAAGTGGGCCTAGGAGGTGTTGAAATCAGAGTGTGAAGTGATGTCATTGATGCATGGCCACTGTGACAAGGAAGAGGACAGGCCACAGGTCACTATCACCTACTACTGACACCATGCTGGTCCTCTTTTCTTGTTTCAGGGGACACTTTGGCAGCTTGACATCCCATCCCATAAAGCAAACGAAATGCAATCTATAGAACCTCAATTTAGAAAATTGCATGCATGCTCTTGTTAGACAAATTGCTTGTTTTTCAGTAGCCAGACAATGTTTTTGAGCTTTAGGTTGTCTTTTTCTGTATTTTTAAATGCATGATATATATGGAAATTGTGAGATATTTGGAAAAGCCAATAAAGTAGAAGGCTTGAATTTATAAAGTATAGCTAGAAAATGCTTTCCTTGTAGGCTATTAAGTGTCTTTTGATCTACTCATTCATGGCTTTAGGATTTGGTTGGTTTTGTTTTGTTTTTCTTTGAAGAAAATGAAGGATCCTCCCAGATTTAATCAACTAATCAATGTATGTGTGTGTTCCAGGTCCAAACTGCTTTGCAGGAACGACAATAATTCCAGCTGGCATTGAAGTGAAAGTGGATGAATGTAACATCTGTCACTGTCACAACGGGGACTGGTGGAAGCCTGCTCAGTGTTCAAAACGTGAATGCCAAGGCAAGCAGACTGTCTAGAACAAATTTCCAACCAATGACTTTTTCTTAGGAGAGAATGTGATGGCTTCTACACTGCACATGTTTAAAACAAAACAAAACAAACAAACAAACTCCTGCCAGCCACAACAGGGTCACCAGCAAAACCTTTTAGGGTTGACAAAAGTGACTATTTTACTAAGAGGAAATTTCTCTCTTTCTCTCTTGCTATATGAAATATATACAGTATACAGCTATCTAAACCGCTTTTGTAATTATCAATGCTTGATGGTGACTTGACCACTGGATTTCTGGAACAAAAAGAAAGGAATATCCTTGCACAGTCTCCTTCACTGATGACGCCTTTGGCTTGCCAGCTTAACATCAGCTGACTTACTCCACTTTTATTCTTCTGTACTTCATACTTGGCTTTCTTCTCTTGTAGCATTTTTTTTTAATTTATTTAATCTTTAGAGTCTAAGGGGCCAGAGCGACTGCAGAGTAAAATTCTGAGTGGTGTGGGAAAAGCTTCAGTAAAGAAATTATCAAGCGTGAGGAAGCTTGCTGGCCAGGAAGACAAAAGAGAATCCCATAATTCCTGGGGGAAACATGCTCTGTAGGCTGAGAGAAGAGAGGTATACACAAACAAACCCACGGCAGAGTGGGAAACTGGTGCTTTGCTCATACTGTTGAGACTCACAATTTGACTCTTCAAAATCACACATTTCATACACAAACCTTGAAACTGCCAATTAAAAACTCACATGATAAGGACACCATGAGCCCTACTGAAGAATCCAAAGGGAAACGTATGTATTAAATTGACACTCTAATCACCACACTTTTTCATGATATTAAGTGTGAATTCGGATTATGACTAAACACACGCTAAACTTTCTTGTCACCTGGCAATATGCATACCAGAACCAGGGTGAATAGCCCCACTGTGAATCTGAATCCCTCTGGGCATTTCTGACATTTGAGTTCAGATGAGGTTGAACACCAATGGTTCACACAATGGTTTGGATGGTTTGAGTCTGTGTTTACCATGTTACAGGAACAACTACCCAGCCCTGTGTCTCAAAGATTCAGGACACTCTTTCCACCTTAAGTGCTGATTTAAATTCAAGTTTAGGGTAGAGTCAGTCTTGCACAATTCCATTTGTTGAACTTTTTTTTTTTTAAATAAAAAAGAAAATGTATATATTATATACTGAATAATTAAAATGAACCTTTGACAAGTCTCAAGGTTGCCCTGGTAATGCTGCTAGTATAGTCATAGAAGAAATAAAACACACAGGGTATCTGATACCACCTCGATCCAAGTGCAGAATTAGCATTCTGAACCCACCTAGTATAGCTGTTTTCTTGTTCCACGCTACTGTTGTGCAAATCCTGGTGCAGATCTGAATGGGTCCTTGAGGAAACTTGAAGGTTGTCATATTCTTTCATTTCCTGCCCCTCTACATCCCACAACAGGCTCTGCCACGGCTCCTGTGGGTGGGTGATATTCACAGTCAGGATTTTTCAGCCTCAGTACTATTGTCATTTAGGCCAGATACTCATATGTCGTGAGTTGTCCCGTGCCATCCCAGGATGTTGAGATTATATCCTTGACCTCTGTTCTCTACACACAGATGGCCACTCCCCAGTCATGACACATATTCCTCCAGATATTCCTAAATAACTCCAAGGATGGTGTGGTAACAGGACAGGGACAAATTAGGAAGCATGGGAATTAACAGTATACAGTCAACAAGGCCCTAAGGAGTTAATTGTGATTCTCTACTAATCTGCAGTGAACAATTATACCTGAGTTCCACCACATCTTTAAAATGGTGAAAGCTGGGTGAAATTATCCACCACAGCTTAATAAAATGAGCACAATTAAGCCCCTGAGTACCATGCTTGGTGTATAATCTGTCCCAGGGGATGGGCCAGAATTGCACCTGATTGAGAACCATTGGTCTGGAATGATTGCTTTAGGGTGGATTTGGATAAGAGGCTCAGGCTGTGCTCGTGGTTTTGGTGAGCCAGGAAACCTATGGGGATATCCACAAACAACAGTCCCAAGAGGTCAGTCTCCATAGGCACTGAGTGACCTCTTATGCCATCTGTCCATCTCTGGACACTTATTTTTTTTAATCTCCTCAACTGATTTTTCACATAAAATTAAATAATAAACCTTTCTGCAAGGAAGCACCTCCTGCCATCAAGAAAGAGTTGTCTTTTTCCAAATGAATGTGTTGACGAGTTGGGTCTGACATTTCTTATGCCACGCTGTGCTTGCGTTTTGTTAGGATACAAATAGCGATGTCAGCGCCATCCTGAGGAAGAATATCAAGCTGCCTTCCCTTAGAACACTAATTTGCAGCAAGCCTGGTGCCTTTCAGTTGCCACCATGGATACATCATATAGACAGTCATGAATCATTCATGAACATTTCTGCATGATTTATTCCTGCGCTCCAAAGTAAAGGCATTCCACACTTCAGCTTGTGTCTAGACAGAGATGTATTATAGGGCTTTCTTTGCCCCGAGGTTGACTGTTGCCAGCTTCAAAAAAACCCACACTCTTGGAAAGAAATAATAATGACAGAAATAAAGTTTGAAACCCAGGAAATATCATTAATAGAGCCATGTAGCATAGTACTCTATGTATTATTAAGGAGTTACTATGTACTTTTTAGAGATAGAAAGAGAGTGCAACTGGGAAGCCGAGGTCCAGAGATTTTGCATCAAAGTCTTGGCACAGTGATAGTCACAGCGAGAATTTTCTAGAATGAAGCATAAAACATCTATCAGGAAACTCTCTGCATAGTGTCTGCAGAAGGAAAGCTATTCAGCAGCTTTTGTTACCAGCTCAAGAGAGATTATTTTGTTGTTGTTGCTATTGTTATATATCTACTTTTCTCCTTTAAGTTTCACTACACCCTATTTCCTTTAAGACTGTAGCCCTCACATCTTTCCTTCTCTTGGGAGAGAGAAACCTATACTGTGACAGAATTTCTCATAAACTGATAAACATTTTACAACTTCCTTCTATTCCAGGTCATTGAGAAATTCTTCTAAATTCTGAACAATGGCTTTCTGGTTTCATCTGCTGTTTCCTTTTTAAAGCTTTGTTTGCAGCCGAACTGTCACCTTTGTGCTCCTACCCCTTCTCCGCCTTTGGTTCTCTGCTTTACGTCCAACTATGTTGAAAGAAGGGATCAACATCCAGTTTGTCAGCTGACGCCTGTTAAAAATGATTCAGTTTCTAAAATCTTGGAGGAAAAAAATGGTGTGCCTGAAAACTAGTGAGAAAACAAATATTACACTGTAAAAAAAAAGGGGGATTCTAGCAACAATATTTGATGTGTAAAAGAATATATTATTAAAAATTATTTTGTTAAATATAAAGTGTGTTAACCAGCAAACACTGTTTGTAGTATATTTTCCTTCTCACTTTTTCCTCTCTCTCTTTCTCCCACCTCATTATTTGATGCCTGATTTTCAGTGACTTCTAGCACCTCAAAGTGCATATATCCTTAGAGTTAGGGGCAATTATGATTATGATTTAGAAATTGCCAGCATGTATTTGCATTTGTTTTGGAAGTCATGGCCTGACTCTTGCATTGAAGAAAAGGAACACATAAACCCACAGTGAGAGGGTAATGATAGGGGAAAAGTTCTATTCCAAATCCGTATCTGTACACAATTCCAATGATGATCAGTAATTATCGACTCCTTTCCCTTTGCTGGGCTCTGTGGTAAGCACTTCACTTCTTGTCTCTGAGTCAATCCACCCATGTCTGTCTTTGAAGGAAGTGTAACCAGGCTGTCCCTTATAAGTAAGGAGGCTAACATTTGGTATCACACAGTTTGAGCATGTAGTCAAAAGGCACCAGACTTTGAAAAAGAGAACATGCTGGGGTAAGTAAAGGGTCAGAAAAAGAGAAGGCCCTCAGACTGACACAGTGGCAGCAACCATGGGGTTGAGCATGTGGAGATTGTGAGGTTGGAGCAGGGGAGGACAAGGTTTTGATCTGTTCGTCATTGTGTCGCTAGGAGTCGTAGTTAACTTGATGGCTCTTCACAACAACTAACAACCCACCCAGCACACCTATGAGGGAGACACTCTTATTACCTCTGCTCTATTGTCAAAGAAATCAGAATACCACAAGGTCAAATAAATTGGCCAACATTATGGAGTTGTTGTTGTGTACCATTGATTTAACCTCTGATTAACTTCAGAGGCAGTTAATTGCATGGGAGAAGATTACCCATCTTTCTCCCATAGAATAGCTGGTGGATTTGAACTGCATACTTTTGGGTTACCAGAGCAACTCCTAACCACTAGGCCACACGATGGCTCTAAAATCATCGAGTAGTAAGTGATGAAGCAGGAATTCGCTTTGATGTTTGGTACCTTTGAGAGGAGCTGACATACAGCTGACTTTGGGTTATCACAGGCAGTCATTCACACAGGAGAATGCCTATCTTTTCCTTGCGGAGCAGCTGTTAGATTTGAACCATGTGCCATTGATAGTTGACAGCAAAGCTCCTTACCACTGTTTTCTTTATTAAAAACAAAAAAATTCCAAACATGGACAGAGAGAAAACACAACAAATCCCAATATATCCATTGTTTACATTCCAGTTAAATTTGGCATACTTGCTTCATTGCCTTATCGTCCTATTAGTGTTTTAAATCAAAGCTCAAGTATCGTATCGTTTCACCTTACACTTTGTGGTAGTTACCTCTTTTTAAAGGATAATTTTCTTACTTAACCATAGTATTAAGCCTAACACCATTTAGAATTCCTTAGTTTAGCCTAATATTCAGCCCTGTTCCAATTCCCTGGATTTTCTTAAAGCTATGGGGAAGGGAAGCTTTTACGTAATCCTAGCTATCCAAAGTTTTACATCTGGTTGGTTGACTTTCTCCTTAAAAAGTCAGCTTTGAACCCTGCTGACTTGACTGGGTTGGTTGCACCATGGTTAAGCAGCTCAGTGGGTAACCACGATGTTCACTGGTTGGAACACACTCCACAGCTATAGGTGGGAGGAAAACCTGGAGAAATGAATCTATAGAACAACGACTCTTTCTGGGTTTATTATGAGTCACGATCAACTTGATGGCACCCAACAAGAACAAAGACAACTAGAGACGC